TGCTATTGAATTAAAAAATATTGTTGGCAATGACAACATCTTTAATTATTTTAAAAATGCCAAAGATTTCTTACCACAACACCTATATATGAAAATACATTCCTACCTTTTTAGATTGTCAGTTTTGACAAAATATACATATTCGTAAATAAATAGGCAAAGCAACGGTAAGATTCAAAACTCAATAAAGATAGGCTTACAAGAATCCCAAGTGAGGCATTTGCTAATTATTCGTGAATAAAATCTCCAATCTGGAAGTTTGGGTCCTGTAGGATGTGCTTCTCCAGAATAATATGCCACATCTCAAACGAGAATATAAATTCGAAAAATACTCGTAACGCTACATAAAGGACGACTGAATTCGAAACACTTCTGAATGTGTAACACAATGAACTTAATTGAGTATCACCATTTTTATGGATATATCATTTTAGATTTGAGTGAATTAAAGAAATTTTGTTACATCAAACATCGGCCAATTACATATCGTTGATTTTCAATGGCACGTAAGATTACGTTTGAAATACAAAACAGCATTGAAACAACTTTTTTCTTCGTTTACAAACAAATTAACCAATCAATTAATATTTGTTATTACGAAACCAATTTGAAATATCTAAAATCGTACCTCTCATTGCTTCGTTAGCAAAGAATATTTGTTTTATCATCAAACAGCTCTTCTTCCGTTGCTAATGGTCGAAGGCAGTATACGAGTAAAAGAAAGAGTATATAACCTTATACCAAATCTCACGATTCTCCATGTAAAATTGGCAAAGAATTTTAAAAAAGCGTTAATATTTTATGTCTGAATGGTATTTCTTCTCTTTGCAATCATGTTTCAGATACGAAGATATCTATTCCAGGGCAATAAACAAATTCCACACCTACCTATGAAGATAATTTTGAAACCAAAATGTTAATGTCAATGTCATGAAAACTTTTGTAAGATCTAAAATATACTCAAATCGTTACATGTTGATGCATTGGTGAATAAAAATAACAAAAAAATTGACGTTTCCGTAAATTTTGATTTTCGAAATTCATGTTGAGAGTCTGAAAACACTTCGTTTTTCCTAACAAATGTTTCCATCGGTATACAGAAAAGCATTACACTCTCTAAATCCAAAAGACGTCCTTAACGGCCTTAATGGTTGCAAGATGCTCATCGAAGCGTTTTGACTTCTCCTGACATTTATATTTTCATATTAGCAGCTGCTGAGTTCCATTCACCTAAAGACGTCGCTGCAATTTCTGAGCATTCTCTCAATAAATAACCACAAATTTTCCCTTATGGAATGGTTTATTTCAGCAACCAGAATTCAATCAACCAGAACACATCAGTTTGACTATCGGCAACGTCTGCCTCCGAATTATTCGGATTTTGTTTACGAAACTATCTGAAAAAAACTTTTGTTACTCTAACGGGTAAAATACCTTTCAAAATACGTAACAGTTTGAGGAACAATCCTCTTCTAATCACGAAACCAAAATCTTTGCTGATGCGAGTTGAATTTTTGCGCGAACTTTAATCTCGACTTCTTTTGTACCTGCACACGTTGGTTTCTTTTGACGGCGGCCAATCACAGCTCCTCCCATTCGGTTAAACCTTATTGGGAAAAAAAATCGTTGATTGACACTAGAGGTTTCAACGTTGCGTTGTAACAATTTCTTTGACTGGCTTTCCGCTCCGTTTTAACGCTAAGAGTTGTGTAACTCGATAAAATTATAGTCAGGGGTGGATCTAGCCGACCGTTTTCAAGGGGGCCATCCTAGATTTTTGTTAAATAAAGAACATATATCATTGTATTGTATATTATTTATGTACTGTATATTTGATACTATCGAATATTATTGTTTAAATAATTACATAATTCGACCATAAATGAATACTTAAATCAATTTTTCCAAATAAAGAATGGTAAACAAAAACTAGGCTTTTTGAGGGGGGCCATGCCCCCTCTCTGGATCCGCCAGTGATTTCTGTATATAGTAGTGGCGGACGGTGGGTACAAAACGTGGGGAGGCCCAGACAAATTCAGGCACGAAATCATATTGTGAAATTGAAAGTCGATGGCCTTTGGCTTACTGGTAAGCTGTTATTGGCGACTTTCCACATAAATTAATTAGATTTAATTTTTTTTCTTCTTTTACGATTACTTCTCCGCGAAAACGGCGATTCCAATAATGATTTTATTGGGTCCACTGAAATACTGGGTCTGCCACAATCGCAACCACAGAGCACACACTATATAAGACGCAACATGCCTTCACAGGAGGAGGTTAAACGCAAGAGAGCCTCCGAGCCAAACCAACTCCAAGCTGGACAAAATGAAACTATTCTTTTCTTATCGGTTGAGGGACGTTTTCATGGCAACAGGGGAGGCGCGCGTCAACTCACGGCTTCTATTGTACAGAGGAGGCCCTGAGTGAACCATTCGAAAGCAGTCAAACAAGCATGCAGGATGAGAAAGACCAAAATGTCCAGTCTCATTCACTACTGATCCCAATATTGAGCAAGTCTGTGTCCATATTCTGAATAACTGATGAAAGACTATTGATGAAGTGGCAAACCATGTGTACATTAGTGGCTTTCTGCATGTGAGAACGCCACGATAGATTTCGAAAGACATTCTTTTGTAGCAAGATAACGCGCCTGGACCTACAGCCGCCCTAACTCTCCAAAATCTGTATTTCGAGTGTCATAACATCCCGAATACAATTGTCTCGTCTAATTACCATCTGTTTGGTCATCTTAAAGAAACTTAAAGAGTCCGAAGATTTGCCTTCGAAACACGATGAAAAATATTTTCATCATATTTTGACCTGCAGGTGAGGAAGCAGTGTTTACATGATTTGTTGACTATCGAAAATCCTTTTTTCGGAGTGTATTGGAAAGCTGGTGCTGACAGAAAAAAGTACATTGAAAATAACGGTGCCTTATTGAACTAGTGGAGCTACAGCAGCACGTACTTTCTCCCAACAGAAACGGAATTTCTGTCCATATTAACACATCTCAGCTACAGTTGGCGGCTGGTGCCC